CAGTAGTAGCTATGGCTACGATTTATTATGTTGCATTAGATGATAATACAACATATAAGACTATATTAGGTACCCGACCCTAGGTTCAGGCTTAAGGATCTTCAGTAGCAATGTGTAACTAGTGGAAAATGAACGCGCTTATGTCGCGAGATTCTAAATCCCTAAACGCGTATGGTTTGCAAGGTACTCCACTTGGGATTATTGCAAATAATAGAGGTAGCGTGATGCATAAAACATCACGATTTATAGGTAGTCAGCTATAGCAAATATCCGAAACTTGGTAGTTTTCAGTAAAGAACTCTTACAACTTTAGTAAGTCACTTGATGATAAGACGATAGAAATAGGATATTTGCTGGCAAGTTTAGATGTAGTGTCTATGTACATTAACATTGAGATAAACGAGGCAATGAAGGCGCTAGAATTAACTCTAGACTAACACCATGAAATCATGATAGGTAAAATGTTAAGCAAAGGTTCATTAATTAGATTTGCAATTTGGCAATGTATAATGCATATTTTACCTATAATAGTAAGTTGTATGAGCAGACACAAGGTTTAGCTATGGGATCTTGTTTAGCTCCTATTTTAGCTAATAACTAACTGACCCAATTAGAAGTTCGGGGGTTTCAAGAGACGCTCCTAGTTTTAAAGTTATTAGTTCGCTATATGGACGATTACTTTCCAGTTTGGTAACACTGAAAAAATAGTTTCGGAGAATCCCTTGCGCTAGATACAAATACTAAGTTTACCGTAGAGTTAAAAAAGTAAAATAAATTTATTTTTTTGAATGTTTTAGTCAGCAAGGAAGGTAATACTTTTGGTAAAGACGTATAAAGGAAATTTCTTCATGTGGATTTCTTTATTAATTTCTTCTTGGATTATGTATGTTCAGTGAAAATAGGAGCTATGAGGTCTATGATAACCCACTTTTTCTACATGACTTCTATACAACTTTGTTTTCTCGAAAATTCCACTACATTAAATTCATTTGTTAAAGCCTTGTCTTCCCTGATCTTCACGTCTGTCCCGCAGCTCATAGGCCCTCTTAGCAGTGACTTAGTGGTTAACCCGTCGAGAATGTATACAGTATTATCACAGATCGAGGTCCACTGTGAGTGCAGCTATGTGAAGTCTAAACTGCAGTTCACTCTGGATGATAATACCTTATGAGATAAAACGCTTTGCAAAATTCAATGGAAATATGTGCCTACTTATGTCGTATGAAAATTTAACTCTTATTCTTTACTCCATCAAACGAAATAGATTGGATACATTTCATATATATACTTTAAATTTGTCGTTCCATTTTTTATTTTTTATTTGCCTCAAAGACAAATGTGTTTAGCTCTAAGTTACATCAATTAGTACAATAAGTCTTGGTTTGTCCTTAATTAATTTTAAATATATCCAATCTCATTTTATTCACTTAGGGGAAATTTGTTCACAGGATCCGCTGGCTGCATATATTTTTATTTTGAATACTTTTTATTTTAGGGCGAGAATGCTAAACCCTGTGAGAAAGTTCACCAGCTCCTTGAGACGACGAAGCATAGGCAGGTCTGGTTCTCTTTACCTGAGTCTGACACGAATACGCTCCCTCAGTATGGCTTTGATTCTACTAGGCCTAAAGATGATTATATTTGTGAAGAATCGGCCACAAGACCACTGCACTCAGGATCAGACAATATATCTTCTGACGAATCTGGTTCCACTTCTGAGGTGACAGGGGGGACCGTCTTTGGGGTTACTGATATTTTAGAGGCAACAATAGAGCTGGACGAAAGGCATTCTAAAGAAGAATGTGAGCATGAGAACGATAATAGTGACCAAGCAGTGGAAGACAAGGATGTCAATAAAGATGAAGCAGTTGAAGAAGATGATGAAGATAACAAGCTTCAAGAAGACAGCCTTCTTGTTGTTCTAAATGCCCTCACTGGCCAACCTTTACCAGAAGACATTCTTTTCTATGCCATCCCAGTTTGTGCCCCTTACCAAACGTTGAGCTCGTACAAATTCAAAGTTAAACTCACTCCCGGCGTTATTAAACGCGGAAAAGGTTAGTCATTTTAGGATCTAGGAATTTCAGGGAATTATACTTTTTTAAGATTAAACCAATTTGACACTCACTGAGACCTGTCCAGCATTAGTGCATAGTTTATCATGCTGCTGGCTGGAAACTAATCAACTTAATACTTAATTTATATATATATATATAATTTTTTAAACATCCTATTAG